GTTCTCGTTCGTATACCTTGCCCGAGACAGGGCTAGCGGACGAGACTTTGCGCTCAAGCAAGTGAGTGGAAGAGCCTGGCGCGGTCAATCGCGCTACGCTGTGCTCTGCGGGTGGTGCGCACAAGAAAGCGATGGTATGTTTGCGGATGTGCTGAGCCCTTCCTACGTCTACTCCAACCAGATGCGGTGTCCCTCTGGCACACCCACTCTGCGGCTGGCGCTCGCAGAGATCGAGACTACTCGTCGATTCCGCTCTCCACACATTATCCGGCTGCTCGACTCCTGCGTAGAGCAGACAGCGGACGGACACATCGTCTACCTCTTCTTGCCCCTGTTCAGAGGCAATGCGCAAGACGAGATCAACGCTCGTGCTGTGCGGGGCGAAAGCGCGAATGAGAAGCACGTGCTACTCGTTTTCAGGGGTGCTGCGAGAGGCTTGAAAGCCATGCATCAGTATCGTCTGCCAAACGTTGGTGCTCAGCGCGAGCAACAAGAAGCGCAAATGGAAGACGCGGAAAGCCATGATCAGCAACTGCCTGTGCCTGTAAGCCACGATGATGAGGATGACTCCGATTCTAGAAGGTTGATAGACGGACATGAAGGAGCCGATGATGAGGACGACGGCTCTTATCCTCCCAAACCGAGACCAGAGATGACCACCTCTAGCTTGCAAATGAACAACGAGCAGGAAACAGGTAGAGAAGGCGATCTCGTACCCTGGGCACACAGAGATATCAAACCTGCGTGAGTTTTGGCCCCTGGGGTGTGTCCTTAGTAAAGCTAGATGGGTGCTGACGCATTGAATGGCGACTTTCTGTGCTTCAGAAACATCATGATTGCACAAGAGAGGCAAGCAGATGGTACGCTCGCGGAACCCGTAGCTGTCCTGATGGACTTTGGCTCTGCACTCAGAGGCCGTATACATATCAAGTCTAGAAGAGAGGCGATCATGCAGCAGGATTTGGCGGCTGAGCACAGCTCGATGCCATATCGAGCTCCAGAGGTGAGTGCGACGCGAATGTCCTGGGTCAAAGTGGGCTGGAGGAAGCTTATCAGACTTCTTGACCCACGTACAGCTATTCGACGTCAAGACGGACGCGAAGCTAGATGAAAGGGTCGACATTTGGTCCTTGGGCGCCACGCTATTTGCACACTTGTACGGCTACTCGCCCTTTGAAACCCCACAGATAGTCGAGCAAGGTGGCAGCGTAGCCATGACTGTACAGACTGGCACTTGGAAGTTTCCAGAGCCAGCGAGCAGCGCTCATTCGCAAGCGACCAAGGACATCATCAGGAGGTGCTTGGTGCTTGATCCGAAGAAGAGACCTGATATTGACGAGGTGCTCGAACTTACCGAGAAGGCTTTGAGAGCACTCGCGTGATGCGCAGTCACTGGTCCGGCAGCTATGTGCGACGGATAGAAGCTGATGTAGATTACTTGAGGGACAATGCTATCATCTTCCGCCAATGCTAAAGAGCGATTCTTGTGCTCTACTGTTCTGACGGCGCTCATCATCTGATCACATGAAGCAATCTGAGCTTGGTACAATAATGGCGCTGAAGACGTCGGCGCAGACGAGCTCACTCAATACTAGGACCTCTTTTGATTGGGTTTCGGGAATTTGAATGACAGTGAAAGTTTGAGGTGTTCCTTGGTTGATTGGGCGTCGCGTAAGCTTCCAGCTCTTCCGTGTCTGAATGACGAGCCATCCGACCCATGCATGGCTTCACACGTCTCTCCACAACATCCCTTTCTTTTATGCAATACACTCATCCGCCCTCACTCAGCAGCAATGTCACTCGCACTGTCATGTGGCATCAGCATCATGGCTGCCATCGTGCTCAGAAACGAGGACAAGTCGGACCAAAAGCTGTACGCGAGATACTTGGCAGCTGAGAGTGTGGAGGGGAAATATCTGAGGAGTGTGGCTCATTCGAAGGAATGCGCACGCACCGTTGAGGAACAAGAGCACCGGTGTGAGTAGTTGCTTAGCCTTGACGACCCTTTCTCAGCCGTGACACAAAATAGGAGCTCAGATCTGGAGATGATGTTGCGCATGACAGCATCACCAGCGCACAGGGAAGCGGAGGTGATGGACGCGGTCGAGATCGAGGAGGTGGAATCCTTGGTGAGCTAGGCAACGACTGTCTCAAAGCTGGCGGGGATGGCCTTGCTTGCCATGTCCGACTCATCGCCGTTCCTGCTTATCTTTTGCTACTCAGCCGTGCGTGGCAGAAGCAACTTATCGACTTCCGTCCGGCTCCAGGATCATCTTTGGTGTGCGCCTCAATGTTGAAGATCTGGATCTGGACTCGCTGCCGCTGCAGATCCGTATGAAGCACGGCAATCTGTATGCTCCATCCACCCCGAAGCAAGACGAATCCTCGCAGACGGCGCCTGTGATCTTGGTCAGGAATATGACGATCAAGAAGGAAGATGGCGAGGAGGAAGTACGCGTTGC